CAATAAAATACTCTGCAGCAGTGAAAAAGTATGAATAGAGCTTATATTCCTAAGATATATTAAGCGAACAAAACTTGAACAGCAGCATATGTAACACATTCCATTTGTTTTTAAGAAAAAAGATACGCATGTGGAGGCATACTTGTCTACGCATATAAGTCTTCTTAAAGGATACAAGAGAAGCTGTTAACTGTGGTTTACTTCTGGGAAACGAAAAGCAGGAAGGTAAGGAAGCACATTTTATGTTACAGTCTGGAAATTATGCTTTTTAAACAATAATATGTGTAACATATTACAATAATATATGATCATAAGTAAATTTTCAACTATCCGAAATTTTGAAATTTACTTTATTCCCAATGATAAGGTAATACACATAGTATCAGGACCCACAAAATGGAGGCCACCTCTGTGGGCCCAGGCTAGTCACAAATCAAAATCTAAGTCAGCCGGCACTTTTGGGAACACTCACTGTCAAAGAAACCTAAAGTACACCAATCACAAACCTCCAACTCCGCTTAGCTAGCTTACCTTACCCTAGAAAACAGGCCCTGCAAGCCTTACAAGGAAGTCCCGGATCTCCTGGCCAGTCACGCCCTGTGTCTTTTCTAATACTCAACTGGCTCTTGTACAAAATCCGTCGGGAAGAGCGCTCCACTGCTTGTGAGGCCCTGGACTCCCCCAGTCCATGGACTGTTTTCCCTTGAATAAAGGACATCAAACTCGTTACTACACTGTTTTAGTTTTGTCTTTTGACTCCAAATATGTCAGATAAAATGTCTTTTCTCCTCACCTAGCAGCTACAATCAAACCTATATTCTTGGGCTGGCCCGGTGGCTTAGCGGTTAAGTGCTCTCACTCCGCTGCTGGCGGCCCGGGGTTCGGATCCCGGGCGTGCACCGACGCACCACTTCTCCGGCCATGCTGAGGCCACGTCCCACATACAGCAACTAGAAGGATGTGCAGCTGTGACATACAACTATCTACTGGGGCTTTGGGGGAAAAATAAATAAATAAATATTAAAAAAAAAACAAAAACCTATATTCTTGAGCTCTATTATATTCAAAGAACCATAGGAAGGGATTCCCTCCCCTATATCTAAATTTTCTAGACACCAAGAGGCCATTCGCTCCCTATTCTCACGGTACAAAAGCCTCTCTGGCCTCTCTTCTCTCCTTAGAAACTCCTCCTAGAGTTGCTGTGAGGACTTCTTCCCACCATTGTTTTTTGCCTGCTTTTACTCAGCTCCCATATCAAGAATGCTTTCTCAAGGAAGCATTCCCTCTTCCCTTGGATTGCCTTGTCCAGTAGTTACATGGTCTCATAGCACCATGTATTTCTCCATATCATTCTTGCAATTTTTTATTTCTGTGATTATTTGATTAATGTGCACCATCCGCACTAGACTGTAAGCCTGGTGCAGGCAAGTCTTGGCTCACTATTATATTCTAACTATCAGGAGAGCATGTCATATATACTAAATAAATATCTATTAAATAAATGAATCCTTAGTGCCCAGCATGTAATAAATCCTCAGTAAATATTATTCGTTTACACGGCATTGTGGAGTATATGCTGTGAAGAGTCAGGGATAAATAAGGGAACTGTCAGGTAACTGAGAGAGGACCTAGTTGAGGCTGGGAAGCATTAATTTGTGCCTTTCGTGAATTTCTTTAGCAGTGTTCAGCATGCCTGGAGCAAGAATGGTTACCCAGAACAAGGCTAGTGGACGCAGGAAAGGACGTACGAAAGCATCTTCATAACAGCTGACTGGGAGGTACGGCCTTGAAGGGAGAGAAGTAAGGCTTTTTCCTCAGTTTGGAATACCCTCACCCTGCACCCCTTTCCTATATTCTGGGCCTGGTGAAACCTATCAATCCTTTAAAACCCACATCAAACGCCCCCTCCTCTATAAAGGCTTCCACATCTCCCAAACAAAGGTAGTCTCTTCTTCCTCTTTGCTCCCAAGGTTCTCCAGACGTAGTTATCATCTATCTGTCAATAATAATCCTTCTCGTGGATCTTGATAAATCCAAAGGTGTCCATCCTCATTTTACTTGATCCATCAGCTATGCATTGACAAAATTGGGCACACTACTCCACTCTGAATTGCACAAACACTAGACTCTCAAAATTGTCCTTGTCCCTTGCCGGCTGTTCACTCTCATCTGCTGGTTCTTCCTCCTCTCCCCAAACCTACAACTGCCATGACTAAGGACTTAGATCTTGTACTGCTGCTCTTTACTGTTCACATTTACTCCTCTGGTGACTGGCTCAGTTTCACAATTTTAAATTGTGATTTCACAATTTTAAACTGACATCTGTTTACTGACAACTCCCAAATGTTCTTTTCCAGCAGTGACCTTCCCCTTGAACTCTAGACTTGGTAGACTCAACTGCCTACTCAACATCTCCACCTGGATGACTAACAGATATCTCAGACTTAACAGGTCATAACTGAACTCCTAATCATCCCCCACAAACCTCCTCCTCCCAGTTTTCCACTTCTCAGTTCATGGCAATTCCATTCTTCTCAAGCCCAAAACCTTGACAATTATCTTACTCTCACAACCCACATTCAATCCATAAACAAAAATCTACTGGCTTTGCTGACAAAATATATCCAAAATTGAACTGCTACTCACTACATTCACCTCTTTCTACCCTTTTAAACCAGTATCATCTCATCTGAATTATCACCCCTTCCTAATTAGTCTCCTGGCTTTCACCTATCCCACTCTCCAACAATCTATAGCCATGCACTACATAATGAAGTTTCAGTCAATGACGGACTACATATACCATGGTGGTCCCCTAAGATTAGTACCATACAGCCTAGGTGTGTAGTAGGCTATATCATCTAGGCTTGTCTAAGTACACTCTATGAAGTTTGCACGCTGATAAAATTGCCTAACAACACGTTTCTCAGAACTATCCCCACCATTAAGCAGAGCATGATGGTATTCTTAACACAGTAGCCAGAGTAATCCTGTTAGAAATCTAAATCAGATCATGTCACTCCTCTGCTCAGAACTTTCCATTGCTTATTCACCCACTAGACTATTCCTTCAAGGCAGGATTCATGTTGCATGAAATGTGTATCTCCACACGACTAACACAATGTCTTGTACATATTGGGTACTTAGTAACTATTTGTTAACTGAATAAAACCAATGAAAGTAAACTGGAACCAAATTTTGGAGAATCTTAATATCAGATTGGAGATTGGACTTACAGATAATAGGAAGATGCCACATGGATCCAAAAGAAAAATATATGATAATGTACATTCTGGCGCTGTTTCCATCCCTATGCCAAGTACAGTTACACAATTATGAACTAAATATCAGAGAATAAATCCCATGTATAATTTTTTTGGAACTAGAGAGACATCTGCAGATATTGCACCAGAATTCTCTTACTGTAAAGACTTTTTTGCACTGCATTATCTTAGAAAATAATAGTGAAACGTACACACAACAATCTCTCAATAAATATTGCTGTCTTTGGCAGACAGTCCATGTTAGTGTCGCCTATAATTCTCCCTCAGACTTACAGTAAAATCCTGAGAAAAGATAGACTTCTTCCCTTTAAAGATGTTAACCTCTAACAACAAATTTATCCCAATGTCTAATAACAAAAAAAGATATAAATTACAAAGAGGTTATTCAAGACTGAGAAGAATAATTACACCAGAGTACAATGAATTTACTTATATTGTTTAATTCAAAATGTTTTCAAAATTATAGATATGAGGCAGCAACATTACCTTCCAAAACCATGGAATTTACTTATTACAATTTTCTCATTTCTAAAATAATTGTAACAATATACAGGGCTATTGTGCAGGTTAAATAAATAATATAGGCAAAGCTACTAGAACAGTGCATGCCTCAGTTAGCACTCAATATATTATCTAGTAATATTAGTTATTATTTTACTAAAATGAAAAGGATCAAATACCCTAATCCAATGTGGACTATTTATAGAGCCATACTTGAAGGGTCAACTGCTTGGAAACAGTAGCTGAGATAACACATAGGAAGAGCCATTTGAAAAATTAAAAGCAAATATGAAAAAATTATACCACCTCTGAACTGTGATACATACAACATAGCTATCTTAAGACAGCTATAACATCTTTTGACTCTGAGAATTTTATTTTGAAAAACCATTGTTCACAATTTGTCATTATTTTATATTTCAATAAAACAATGAGTTCTATCATTTCCAAAAATCACAAACAGTTCTCTGAATTTAAACAGGGGTTATCTGGTTATTTTCGGACTCACTGTCAACATATGGTTACGTCTCCGTTCAGTCTACTGTCAGACAATCCAAATAGGTTAATAAATGGGTAGCAGACATCTCATCGGGACAGATACATCTTTACCAAGCCAAAACTGAATTGCAGCCAACGAACAGGGAGCCAAAGATATTTTCAAACACAAGTTGTAGTCACAATGAACTTTCCTGGGCCACAAAGAAAAACTACTTTCTTGAGATGACTCACTGCAGATTTCAACTGAAGGTCGAAATCAGCCTGCCATCTCAGGTGGGCTAACACTGCAGCGGCAGACCGTCTGTGATCACGTACGTGCAAGATAAACGTGGACGACATAAGCAAGTCACTCCTCTACTTTACCTTCCTCCCTAAACAAGGTTTGAAGGCAGATGAAAATTAAGTGAAGTCATGTGTCTTACTTTCTCCGCCTTCCAATATTTGAGAGGCGGAGCTAAGAAGTGAAGAAAAAGCGAGAGGCCGGACCTAGAGAGAGGTAAGGGGCCAGGGTACGCCAAAGCCGGGACGCGCGGAAGTGGGGGTCCCGCAACAAGGCCGCCCCCAGCGCCCGGGTGTGAGGGACCGAATTGGCGGAGGCGACGCAGCCCGACCCCGCTGCTGACAGTCTGCGGGGGGGATGAAAGGGGGATCCCACGACAGGAGAAGCGGATATATGCGGAACCACGAGAAAACTCAAACCCCAGCTTTGAATAATACCTCGCCGGCCTTCCACTCCTGTCTCCCGAGAAGCAGTCGGACGGCGGTGACGTCAGTGTCGCACCGGCTCTGCCCGCGGCGCCAACGGCGCTCTGTGATGACCTCACGGGCTCTCCCGGTCCCCTCGCGCCTTGACCCCCCTCCGCTGTCAAAGGCGGTATTCTGAAGTGCTCCAGGCCAATACCGTGGAAGGAGTGTGGATATCTTTTTCTAGATTTATATTCGGCCAGCACCCACCCGGAATACGAGTTGAGCGTAGTTAACCGGAAAAAGATGTCAGTTGCTAAAGCTTTGTTCCGGTTTTTACTTGCCCTGTAGCTCGTTCCAGGCCCTGGTTCTTCCTACACCCCTTTCTCCGCCTCAAAATGAGCCTCCTAGAGCAGCTTCCCAAGTGACCCGTGGCGAAGGATGATTCTTTATTTTTCCAATCTATCGCTAAGAGAGAGTTTTGTAAAATACAGTAAAAATGTTTTAGTTTAAGAGAGAGTTTTGTAAAATACATCTCTTAAACATATGTTTAAGAGGTAGTTTTGTAAAATAATGAAAAAATTACTTGAAAAATGAAAAAAGATAAAAGCCTAGATTTTTAATTATTAGTTTCAATAAACATAATTTTCATTTCAATAAATATAATCAGAACAATGTAAGAGAAAAAAGAATTACAACAACTGTACATATATTACAGCCCAAGATGGGATCTGCTGCCCGCTGCAAGATGTGCCAATAGTCAAGAGGCAAGGCGGTAGGAGACAAAGTACTTTTTATTATAGCTTGCTAGCAAGAGGGAAGATGGCCAACTAATGTCTGAAAGAACCATCTTAAGGGGGCACAAAGTCTTACAGCAGCTATATAGGCGGGTGGGTTGTTGGGGAGGGGGTTAGGAATGTTGACCCTCTGGTGTTACAGACTGGGAGTTGCCGCACCAGATGTTTCAGTTTTCATTGATGATGGCTATCAGCATAGACTCCCTGTTCAGAGGTCATCACATTCCTAAGGAACTCAAAAGAACTAATCTTGTCGAAGCTGGGAGGTACATGCACAAGCAGGGGTCATAAAATCCGCAGAGCAGTTAGATCTCCTGGAGGGTGCACATCCAGCTGGGTTCGTTAGTCAGAGGTCATTCAAAGTTACAATAGCGTTTCTTTTGTACAATATGGCTTCCCATATATCAACCTTGTCTTGAGCTGGTATTACATATGTTCATTGGAAGTGTAGTGTAAGTGACTAAGAGCATCATTTTTACATTTCTAACTTTTTATTCCACAATCATAATTTAACAAAAAGTTATGCATGAAATAATGATTGCATATATCAAATTCCCATAAAAGCACTTTGAACAAACACCATGTGTGTCAGTTTCTAACATTTTTTAAGTGGCAAATGACCTTTCTTCTGATTTGTTATCCTGATCTGGTGGGATTAAAGACAATGGTTCTGGATGAGGGTAGTGTGTATCTAAACTGTTCCTCTGTTTTGTTTTTACACTCAGAGAAACCAGTCTCACAGAGATAAGTTGATGGGAATGGAAGAAGAGTTTTCAAAGCAATTTCGGGAGCCAGCCCTGACGGCCTAGTGGTTAAAGTTCAGCGCACTCTACACCGCGGCCCAGCCTGGTTCCCTGGCAGTGCGGGACCACACTACTCATCTGTCAGTAGCCATGCTGTGGCTGCAGCTCACATAGAAGAACTAGAATGACCCACAACTAGAATATACAACTATGTACTGGGGCTTTGGGGATTAAAAAAAAAGATTGACAACAGATGTTAGGCCAGGGCCAATCTTAAAAAAAAAAGTGTTAAAAAAAGCAATTTCAGCAAGCTAAGAATATTCATTTTTAACTTTCATCTAAAATGAAACAAATGATGACATTTTCAAATTTCATCTTTAATCCATCAGTTGCCAGTTGCAACAATTTCTCCTTTAAAGCTATTTTAAAAATTATCTTTTGATGAAAGAAATGTATTCCAGATTTTATACATTGTTTGAGTCACAATTACCAAACTAAACTTAAAATATCACAAGTTGCAATGTGGTCATACTGCACATGACTAGTAGACAATTCACACAACATGGGATTCACCATGTGAGTTCAACAACATCCAAATTAATCTACACCCAACTCAAGAAAACCACTTCACTGATCTCGGTTGTTGCAGCAATGCTGAACCGCCATAAAAGTTGCTAAATGATTATTCTCAATTTCTGCACTCATCTTGTTGTTGTACAGGTAATAACAAATAGTTAATGGACTGGCACCAGTCCACAGACCATACTTTGAGTAGCACTGCCCTCGAGAGTTGGGTGGATAACCTTACCACAAAGACTGCTGAGACCTGGCAGGACTGAAACATCACCCAGAGTAACTCAGAACCTGACCTTTGTCCTGCAGCAAGGTGATAACAAGGCTTCAAGGCAAATTGTCACAGCTTTGTGTCATTTGGGTCCTCAGGAAGCAAACACTGAAATGGAGTTAGGAGTACAAGATGTTTGGAATGGGGGCATGTCTCTGAAAGCTAAAGAGGGAGGAAGCAGGATTGGGCAGAAAGCTTCAGACCGTGATGGAGATGTGACAGGGTCTCAGCCAACACAACAGTGAGCTCTGGAGCAAAGAGTGCCCCATAGAGTAGACCACAATGGGCAGAAACAGCCAAGCACTAGTACCCCCTCTATGCTTGGTCATTGGCAAGATTGTGGCTTCAACTTAAAAGCTGAGGCAGAGCCTAAAGTTGCTACTAGCTGGAGGCTGTCAGCTAACTGCACTTTTACAACTGAATGGTAAATTTTTTAAAGGGAGATCTAAGGAGCGCACCTCCTCAGCTGCCATACGCTGAACCATCCACACCACAGCAGCACCACAATCCCATGATTTGTTCAACAGATATTTACTGAGTCCTTGTTACGTGCCAGACTCTATCTACATGTTATAGGTAGAGCAGTGAAAAAAGTCCCTTCCCCTGTGAAGCTTACATTTAAATTTTAGCACTGGGAATACCTCTGCCTCTTCTTTTTCCTTCCCTTTACTCCACTTTACTCTCCCATTCTTTTCCTTCACCACACTTTTATCTCCAATAATCCCTGATTTCAACATTTAAACCTTCCTGGTTCATGCTTGAGTATTGCTCAGCCTCCTAAGGACAATGGAGAAAGAGAAGTTATCCAGTGGAATCTGAGAAAAACAAACTCATAGATACAGAGAACAGATTGATGATTACCAGAGGTGGGGGGCTAGGGGGTGGGCAAAATGGGCGAGGGTGATCAAAAGGCACAAAATTCCAGTTATATGTTCCAGGGATGTAATGTACAGCATGGTGACTATAGTAACAATACTGTATTATATATTTGAAAGTTGCTAAGAGAGTAGATCTTAAAAGTTCTTATTGGGGCTGGCCCCATGGCACAGTTGTTAAGTTCAGCACGTTCCACTTCAGCAGCCTGGGTTCATGGGTTCAGATCCCGGGCATGGACCTACACCACTCGTCAGCCATGCTGTGGCAGTGACCCACATACAAAATAGAGGAAGATTGGCACAGATGTTAGCTTAGGGTGAATCTTCCTCAGCCAAAAAAAAAAAAAAAAAAGTTCTTATCACAAGAAAAGAAATTATAGCTGTGAAGTGATGGATGTTAGCTAAATTTAGTGTACTAAAACTGATGTTAACTAAAACCACTTGGCAATATATACATATATCGAATCGTTACATTGTACACCTTACACTAATACCATGTTATATGTCAATCATATCTCAATAAAACTGGGGGCAAAAAAAAAGAAAAGTTATCCGAAACCTCAGGTCACAGGAAAAAAATGCCTGCCAATAGCATTTGAAAACCACTGCATTATGCTACCTCATGGTTTTTGTTACTCCCTTTCACAACAGAAGGCTGAATTCCCCTCATGGTGCTAGTGAATACTCCAGCCCTTGGCTGCAATGAAAAAAAAGTCGATATGTAACCACATAGCTGGCCTTGGAAATGGAAGATAAATGCACTGATCACATTCCCAGTGCAGATCAGCTCCTTCCCATTTGATTACTGTATAGTACAAATGATGGTGAGCAATGCAACAGCAGCTCTTCAGAGCAAACTAGCTGTGTAACCGTAGGCAAGTTATTTAACCTCTCTGATCCTCACTTTTCTCATTTGGAAAATAGAGACAATAATAATACCTATTTCTTAGGTACTGTGAGGACCAGATGAGTCACCGTAAGTGCTTACCACAGTGCCTTGCACAGAGTAAGCATTTAATAAACATTAATTATTAGTAACAGTAATTATCACTATGCAATATTATTGCTTAAAAAAGAGGAAATTAGAAAATTCTGATGTTGATGAAAAAAAGAAAATTTTGGTGTTGAATTTAGGAAGTTTCTTAAATCTTAGTGTTCAAGCTATGTATAACAAAATCGGGCTCCCAGTGAATATCAGAGTAAAATATTAGAATTTTTTTCTCTCTTCTGAATGATAACATAAGAAAATCACCATTTTACAGCTGATGGTGCTCAGGGCAAGCTACCCCAGGAAGCACCACTCTGGTATGTGGATTATTTCGAGCTGAAGACAATAAGGACTCAGAGAACTCAGGAAGAATATTTGAGTTTCCCCTCCCAAACTGCCTAAAGAATTTAAAACAAAAGATCTGTTTCAGGAAGGAGTTATTATCATGACTGCTATAAAGATAATGTAGGATAGAGGTTACAATAGAAAAGGCACCAACAAGCCCATCTTATCAGAAGTTCTGTCTCTCTGGCCACATGCTCTGGATGGCCCTGCGAGGAGTTACCAGACAATCATTTACAAGGGAAGTCTCCATTTGTAAAGGTATCTCCCTCTCTGTATTGGGAAGAGGGGGGATGACCTCATTTCTAGAGACTTATCAATGTGGAAGGTGAGGCCTTAAAACTGCATAATAAACCTTACTCTTGTTTACAGTGCTTTAGTGATAATCTCCTGTAACTGACACCCCCACCCCCAACATCCTCCTTGCTTTGGTTGGACATGGTATTTAAGACGAGAATTTCTGCTATTGTGTTGAGAAACGTAGTGTCC